CCCTTGAGCAAAGCACTTAACCCTAATTGCTCCAGGGGTGCCGTTGATAATGGCAGACCCTGGCCGTGACCCCACTCTCAGAGGGTGTCTCAGGGAGAGTTGGGATATGCAAAAAACACATTGCCAATTCACACATGTATTATTACAAACTTGTATGTGTGAAATAGGACAAATATAAGCACCTAACAAATTATTAATAATAATAATAATAATATTATTGTGAGAGAGTATATAGTAGTGTGTGTGTGATGGAGAAGGGCGATTCCACTCCATTGTTCTGACAATTCTCACATAGAAACTTCATTGGAAGGAAGGATGTTTTGATATGCTTTTTACATTTGTATTACAAATACTTTTTTTGAAAATCATGATAAAGTGGCCATGTTAGGACATTTTTAGACCTATACATGATACAGACATCTTGGTGTCATTATACTCCTTATAGTGTGTTCTAACATATGGAGTATGTCTAGATTCTGAAATACTAATTTTCACATTAATTTATTCTCAAAAGTACCCTTTTTGATTTTGTTCATTTTAAGACAGATTGCTTGAAACAATATACAAGTACATCACATATCCAGAGTTGGCTCTGCTAATTCGGAAGGTATCACAACACAGTGAATGGGAAAATGGATTCCAAGGGAACTCCCTCTGCTGGTGATTTGCTGAATGTGCAATCCTAAAGGAGGGCTGTGATTGGTTAATGACCGATAATGTCAATTTCTATGTAATAAAATGGCTCATATCATTAAAAGTACCAGATAGCCCACTCTGGAAATTGTACGTGTCTGAAGAGTATATTGTTCCAAACAATATATCTAAAAACAAGCTACATCAAAAGGGTACTTTTGAGATATTAATATGTGTTATGTAGAGCACACTATATGGAGTATGATGACACCAAGATGTTGTCTGTATCAGGGCTCTAAATAAAAAATGTAAGATTGGTAGCACTGGTGCTCCCAACTTTAAAAAGTTAGGAAAACCACATGAAATTTAGGAGCAAATTGATTGAGATACAGCCTATATTGGTCCTATATGAATTCGAGCCACTTTTGAAGCACATTTTGTGCCCTATAATCTAAAATGTAACACTGTAAATACATTAGTTTATTATAAAAGCTCAAATGTTACTACGAATACCTGCCATTTGAAATTACAAAGTCATTTGTGGAATATTAGGTTTCTACGTTGTGTAAAAGCATTATTTTCCTATTGAAATGCATTACTTTGAAAATTGTACACTGTTTCTTTAAAAAAGTCAAGTTTGTGATGATAATTTATTGCTATGATCATTGATCTCCTGAAGAAGCTATCCCTTTTCCTTTCTCCCCCCCCCCCCCCCCCCCCCCCCCAAAAAAAATATACTGGTTACCAAGTTGTTAGCTCGTTAGCCAATGAGGTAACATGACTGAACAAAGTATAAACAAATGGTTAACAACATCGATGCGCAAGTAGTTTTAGAAGGCCCACAATATGGTTTAAGAATGTAAAATGCGGTCCCGGCAATCCGCTATAGGAAAAAAAAAATGTGCCGTAATATGTATCAGATCTTTTGATCTGGTTGGTCTAGAAGCAATCTGTTTTTGCTGTAGGAATGGTGCAACCATGATGCTAACGAATCTTGACTCACTTGTTTCTCTAGGGCACTCTGAAAAAACAGTGCAGCGAAGCCTTCTCATTACAACAATTATTATCTGGGAGATTCATTTCATAGGTCGCACAGTGCTGCAAAAATAAAACTCCTGGTTGCACAACAAAATATTTTGTTGCATATGCGACCAAATAGGTCGTACTTTAGAGCCCTGGGCCCGGTTTCCCAAAAGTATCTTAAGGCTAAGTCCATCATTAGAACCATTTGAGCTCAATAATTCTAACGATGAACTTAGCCTTAAGATGCTTTTAGAAACTGGGCCCTGGTCTGTATCATGTACGGTTCTCTGACCATAGGCTCTTACAGGAGGCATATATAGGTCTAAAAAGGGCCTAGAATGGCCACTTCCGTCATTATTTTTTTGTGATTAAAAAAATGTAAATATCATGTCAAAAATCCTTTGTCCCAATGAAGTTTCTATGTGAGAATTGCCAGAACAATCTGAGATACCAAAAATATTTTCGGGCTACACTGGCATGGAATTGCCCAGAGAGAGAAAGAGAGACATAAACACCCTGCTAAATCAGATGAAACAGGGTGAGCCTTGCGCCACAGGATGTGTCTACGAGTGTTTTTACAGCATGTGATTCCTTATGACTGACCTAAAGCCATAGGACTGAAGAGAGCTAAAGGCAAACTAAGGGGAAGCTAGAGACTTTCTCTATGTTATGCTGCATCCATCAAACTACTTTTCTATCTTCTCTTCTCTCATTCTATCAGTCTGTAAGCAATCTCCCCTTCTACTATAGTGGGAAGCAGGATCATTCTATTACTCTCTCTTCCGCTCCTCTCTCTCTGACTCTCTACGTTCTTTCTCTCCACACAACAGAAAACAGTCTCTCTCTCTCTGTCCCTCTCCTTCCTCTCTCATTCCTGTGCAGCCTGTAGAAACACTCGTAGATAGCTGTCGTTCCTCCGTCTCATCAACCAATGTGAATGTTATATTCTCTCCTTTTCTCTGTGGATTTTAGTGATTTAACTCTCACACTAATTTCATGCTTCTGGATTTCGATTGCATCCCATCACTATCCTATCTGTAAGTGTTTACTTGATTTATTATACAGTGAGGGAAACAAGTATTTGATCCCCTGCTGATTTTGTACGTTTGCCCACTGACAAAGACATGATCAGTCTATCATTTTAATGGTAGATTTATTTGAACAGTGAGAGACAGAATAACAACAAAATAAATCCAGAAAAAACGCATGTCAAAAATGTTCTGAATTTATTTGCATTTTAATGAGGGAAATAAGTATTTGACCCCTCTGCAAAACATGACTTAGTACTTGGTGGCAAAACCCTTGTTGGCAATCACAGAGGTCAGACGTTTCTTGTAGTTGGCCACCAGGTTTACACACATCTCAGGAGGGATTTTGTCCCACTCCTCTTTGCAGATCTTCTCCAAGTCATTAAGGTTTCGAGGCTGACGTTTGGCAACTCGAACCTTCAGCTCCCTCCACAGAACTTCTATGGGATTAAGGTCTGGAGACTGGCTAGGCCACTCCAGGACCTTAATGTGCTTCTTCTTGAGCCACTCCTTTGTTGCCTTGGCCGTGTGTTTTGGGTCATTGTCATGCTGGAATACCCATCCACAACCCATTTTCAATGCCCTGGCTGAGGGAAGGAGGTTCTCACCCAAGATTTGACGGTACATGGCCCCGTTCATCGTCCCTTTGATGCGGTGAAGTTGTCATGTCCCCTTAGCAGAAAAACACCCCCAAAGCATAATGTTTCCACCTCCATGTTTGACGGTGGGGATGGTGTTCATAGGCAGCATTCCTCCTCCTACAAACACGGGGAGTTGAGTTGATGCCAAAGAGCTCGATTTTGGTCTCATCTGACCACAACACTTTCACCAGTTCTCCTCTGAATCATTCAGATATTCATTGGCAAACTTCAGACGGGCCTGTATATGTGCTTTCTTGAGCAGGGGGACCTTGCGGGCGCTGCAGGATTTCAGTCCTTCACGGCGTAGTGTGTTACCAATTGTTTTCTTGGTGACTATGGTCCCAGCTGCCTTGAGATCATTGACAAGATCCTCCCGTGTAGTTCTGGGCTGATTCCTCACCGTTCTCATGATCATTGCAACTCCACGAGGTGAGATCTTGCATGGAACCCCAGGCCGAGGGAGATTGACAGTTCTTTTGTGTTTCTTCCATTTGCGAATAATCGCAACAACTGTTGTCACCTTTTCACCAAGCTGCTTGGCGATGGTCTTGTAGCCCATTCCAGCCTTGTGTAGGTCTACAATCTTGTTCCTGACATCCTTGGAGAGCTCTTTGGTCTTGGCCATGGTGGAGAGTTTGGAATCTGATTGATTGATTGCTTCTGTGGACAGGTGTATTTTAAACAGGTAACAAGCTGAGATTAGGAGCACTCCCTTTAAGAGTGTGGTCCTAATCTCAGCTCGTTACCTGTATAAAAGAAACCTGGGAGCCAGAAATCTTTCTGATTGAGAGGGGGTCAAATACTTATTTCCCTCATTAAAATGCAAATCAATTTATAACATTTTTGACATGCGTTTTTCAGGATTTTTTTGTTGTTATTCTGTCTCTCACTGTTCAAATAAACCTACCATTAAAATTATAGACTGATCATTTCTTTGTCAGTGGGCAAACGTACAAAAGAAGGCAGGGGATCAAATACTTTTTTCCCTCACTGTACATATTACACAGTGATGGGTTGACGAATACACATGCAATTGATGCAGTTATGATGTTATAGTAATGATTGCTGTGGTTATGATATTTAATGATAGCTGAATGTGTAAATGTGTGCTGCTGATATTCTCACAAACAAGAAGGGTTTGGAGTTTGACAACAGTTGCTGGCAGCAATAAATCTAACGTAGATCAGACTTATGTGTAGATGACATTGGATAAGTCTAACATAGTTATCTTGTTGTTGTTGTTGTGTGTTTTCTCTATAGATGGAACCTGCAGCAAGGAGATGAGCCAGCTGCTTCAGCCTTCAGCCAAGAGCGAGAGAGACTTCCAGTGTCTGTTGGCGTGGGTGTGCTAGAGTGTATATGTGTATATGTGTGTGTGTGTGTCTGCTGAGAGGAGAGAAGACTGCCTTCCAGCGTGTGTGTGGGAGCAATCGTGTTTCTTCGCTTGAGTGGGTGTGAGTGTGTGATTTCTTTGCTCTGAATAGTAGGAGAATGGCAGCTCGCTAGTGTGTGTTTATGTGAATGCATGAGCGTGTGTGTTTTCACGAGTGAGTGTGTTGTGTGTCCTCCTCTCTAAGGAGTAGTAGGAGGGCAGCTCTCTCCACCTGGCTGGGGTGTGTGTGGAGATGGCAGTGTGTGTGTGTGCTGCCTTGCCCTCCCTGCTCTTGCTCCTGAGCTGCGGTGTGTGTGTGACGGTGGGATACCCCTTTAGACCCCCCATGGACCTGGATGTCACCCCCAGGATCACCGTAACTACCAGCGGTAAGCACACACACTTGATAGATACGTAGAGGGAAAAAAATCAGAGAGAGAGAGAGAGAGAGAGAGAGAGAAGAAGAAGAGTAGTATATAGCAGAGAGGCGTCCTAGAGAGCTCTACTCTAGCTATCCTACTCTGATCGCCTCTCCTCTCCTCTCTCTCTCTCTCTCGCTACTCGCTCTTCTCACTCCTCTATCTCTCTCTCTCTCTCTCTCCTCTCTCTCTCTCTCCTCTCCTCTCTCTCTCTCTCTCCTCTCTCCTCTCTCTCCTCTCTCTCTCTCCTCTCTCCTCTCGCTCTCTCTGCTTCCTCTATCTCCGCTCTCCCTCTGCCTTCTCTCTCTCTCTCTATCTCTCTCTCTCTCTTTTCTCTAGCTCTCTTTCTGCTCTCTCTCCTCTTCGCTCTCTTCTTCTATCTCCCCTCCTGTCTCTATGTTATTTAGTGGCGACACACAGTCAAATGGATATAAAGAACTCACTAAAGACTGAAGGAAATGACAGTCATGACTCATGATGTACAGTGCCTTGCAAAAGTATTCATCCCCCTTGGCATTTGTCCTATTTTGTTGCATTACAACCTGTAATTTAAATGGATTTTTATTTGGATTTCATGTAATGGACATACACAAAATACTCAAAATTGGTGAAGTGAAATGAAAAAAATAACTTGTTTCAATCTAAGTGTCACATGATCTCAGTATATATACACCTGTTCTGAAAGGCCCCAGAGTCTGCAACACCACTAAGCAAGAGGCACCACCAAGCAAGCGGCACCATGAAGACCAAGGAGCTCTCCAAACAGGTCAGGGACAACGTTGTGGAGAAGTACAGATCAGGGTTGTGTTATAATAAAATATCTGAAACTTTGAACATCTCACGGAGCACCATTAAATCCATTATTAACAAATGGAAAGAATATGGCACCACAACAAACCTGCCAATAGAGGGCCGCCCACCAAAACTCACAGACCAGGCAAGGAGGGCATTAATCAGGGAGGCAACAAAGAGACCAAAGATAACCCTGAAGGAGCTGCAAAGGTCCACAACGGAGATTGGAGTATCTGTCTATAGGACCACTTTAAGCCGTACACTCCACAGAGCTGGGCTTTACGGAAGAGTGGCCAGAAAAAAAGCAATTTCTTAAAGAAATAAATAAGCAAACATGTTTGGTGTACACCAAAAGCCATGTGGGAGACTCCCCAAACATATGGAGGAAGGTACTCTGGTCAGATGAGACTAAAATTTAGCTTTTTGCCCATCAAGGAACACGCTATGTCTGGCACAAACCCAACACCTCTCATCACCCCGAGAACACCATTGAAGCGTGGTGGTAGCATCATGCTGTGGGGATGTTTTTCATCGGCAGGGACGGGGAAACTGGTCTGAATTGAAGAATTATGGCTGGCGCTAAATACAGGGAAATTCTTGAGGGAAACCTGTTTCAGTCTTCCAGAGATTTGAGACTGAGACGTAGGTTCACCTTCCAGCTGGACAATGACCCTAAGCATACTGCTAAAGCAACACTTGAGTGGTTTAAAGAGAAACATTTAAATGTCTTGGAATGGCCTAGTCAAAGCCCAGACCTCAGTCCAATTGAGAATCTGTGGTATGAATTAAAGATTGCTGTACACCAGCGGAACTTGAAGGAGCTGGAGAAGTTTTGCCTTGAAGAATGGGCAAAAATCCCAGTGGCTAGATGTGCCAAGCTTATAGAGACATACCCCAAGAGACTTGCAGCTGTAAATGCTGCAAAAGGTGGCTCTACAAAGTATTGACTTTGGGGGGGGTGAATAGTTATGCACGCATTTTGTCTTATTTCTTGTTTGTTTCACAAGAAAATATATTTTGCATCTTCAAAGTGGTAGGCATGTTGTGTAAATCAAATGATACAACCCCCCCCCCAATTTTTTTTATTCCAGGATGTAAGGCAACAAAATAGGAAAAATGCCAAGGGGGGTGAATTATTTCGCAAGCCACTGTAATGTCGTGAAGTATGCTGTATGACTACGCACTTCAACTGGATATGATTTATTGGCGAGGTAGCCTAACGGTGACTATTGCATTCTGGTCACATACTTCATGTAATTCAAACGGGACAATATAGGCTAACTGCATATAAATTCTTTGTGTGGATGAAAATTATATCTAACTAATCATAGACCCGATTTATTTTGGTTCAACGTATCATGCTTCCTTTATGTTGAAGTGGGGTTTGTGGGTGCGCTCATCTCCATGCCCGTCGGGGCGGCCGGCCGGGCGGGGTCTTTCCCATCCTTGGAAAATCCCTTTGGGCCCAGGGGGCAGGGGCCTCGGCCGACCGACGGCTCGAGGCGGGTGGGGTCGAGCGCACCTACGGTCAACAGTAGCCGATTGTATGGGTCTATTCTGTTTGGATTTGTATATTGGTGTGGCGTCTGGGTGTCTGTCCGCTCTCAGGATAAAGATTCCAAAGACCTTTCTCTTTTGTTTTTACTCCATGAATGGTTCATTTAATAAGGCCTATGTTTTTTATGTTGGAGCTGAGAGCGCAGAGGGAGAAAATGACATGAGCCGGTCGGACAAGCATCATAATATGGCCCGAATAATCTAGATTGATAGATAGATATTGAGAGGATGTTCTGTTTGATTTTGCTGTCTATAATACGAAGCAGAATGGGATTTGTCCTGACATTCGATTAAGAAGCCAGCTGTCATGAACGAATCCCTCAACTTTCTTAAGTCTATTGTGTTCTTATTAAACTAGAAGATTGTTTAATTAAGGGAAGTTTGTAATAATGAATTAGGTTATAATTAATTAATTAATTAATTAATTAAATAGTACATTATCTGTCAGCTAATGGCTTTGCTGACTGAATGCACTATTGAATGCTGTTTTAATTGCACTGATATCTACTTCCATTTGGGAAAAGGCCTCTAGGAAGGTAGACGGTACCAGAGTAGCTAATGGTAAAATCGAAACATTTATTTGGACCAATGATGAAGATGCGCATAGGAGACGATGACCTAGACCACGTTATATTTAATTTCAGATGCGGTCAAGACTCCACCTCCCCCGCGGTTAGCCTCCTTCAGTATCACGTACTGATTCAATCTTTGTCAGATGTTTTTATTTTGTTTTGTAATGTCGGTGTGTATGGTTTGTTTATGTTTTTCTTTATCTTAATGTTGGCCAAATATGTGAAATATTATCAGACTGGTCTTATTGCTCTTTCATTGCTTGTTGCAGATTCTGTAACAACAGCAAACCCCCATGAGTGATTTAAAGATAACTACTATTAATTTGAAAGGAATTAATTTCCCTATCAAACGTAAAAAAGTATTGACTTCAGCTTAAAATAAAAAAGGTACAGATTGCTCTCGTACATGACAGACATCTGACTGACTTGGAACATTAGGAATTAAAGCGAGACTGGATAGGCAAAGTGTTTTACTCCTATCATTCTAAAAGCAGAGGGTCTGCCATTCTTATTCACAAAAATCTCCCTTTTACACTGGATAAGATTGTTAATGACTTTGAAGGTAGATATTTGATTATTACTGGTTTTCTATATGGCGAGCATATTCAGCTGGGATCAATTTATGCACCTAATGTTTACAAAAATACCTTTATTGCAAAACTTGTAAATGATGTGGCCTCACTGGCGACACCATTTTGTATTTTAGGAGGAGATTATAATTGTCCATTGAACCCACTGGTCAATCAGAAACCTCCCAACCAGAAGGTATCTAGGAAAACTAAGGGTATACATAATATTTGTGATTTCTGTCTGCATGATGCCTGGAGGATTATGCATCCAAATGAGAAGGACTTTACTTTTTATTTTGCCAGACATAAATATTTTTCTAGAATTGACTACTTTCTAACTTCACAACTGGTTTTAGACCGAACACAGTCTTGTGATATCGGTATCTTATGTTTGTCAGTCTTCACACCTTAATAAGGCCTACAGCGATCCATCTAACAGAAGGGTGCGTTTAAACCCTATGCTATTTAACACACCTGAATTCACTTCATTTTTTTCTTTTTAAATAATCAATGGAATCTCTATATGGAGAATAATGACACCCCTAACGTATCTCCTTCAATCATTTGGGAAGCAGGCAAGGCAGTTATCAGAGGGAATATTATTTCCTATGTTGCAGCTAAAAGAAAGAAAACATTTAAACTACAGTTGAACTTAGTTAAAAGTAAGGCAACTTGAAGATGAATTTAAAAGGACTTCTTCCAAACAGCTCTTCAAAGAATTACAATCTGCAAGATCAGCATTAGACCAACTGTTTACAGACGAAGCAGAAGCATCTATTTTCCAGGCTAGACACAGATTATATGATCATGGAAATAAGCCAAGTCGATTCCTCTCAGGACTGGCAAAGAACAGAGGCTATACCCTCGTTAAAGGATCAATCGGGGGTGGAACGATTCACCACTAGGGAAATAAATACCATTATGAGGGACTACTACCTGTAACTCTACAGCTCCGACTCCAGCAATAATCTGGCTGACATCAATCCTTTCTGGACAAACTATCTCTCCCAACGATACATGTGGGAGACAGATAATTATTATGCAAGGAGATACCCAAAGAAGAAATACAAGAGGCAATTAAAACCCTTAAAAATGGGAAATCCCCAGGACCTGATGGGTTTGGACCAGAGTTTTATAAGAATTGTCAAGATTTCATAACGGAACCCCTTTTCAGAATGTATACAGACTCCTTTGCCAGGGGCAAACTCCCTCCAACTTTAAACCATGCTAATATTGTTCTCATTCTTAAGAAAAATAAACCAGCCAAAGATTGCTCTAGCTATAGGCCTGTGTCCCTTATTAATGTGGACAGTAAGCTCTTATCTAAGATCCTAGCTAGGAGACTAGAAAGATTTCTACCAACTTTAATAAAGCCGGACCAAACTGTTTTTATAATGCAAATGCATTCATTGACAAATGTCAGACATCTCCTCAGCATAATACAACTCTGTAAGCAATCACAACATAGAGACACTGCTCTATCATTGGATGCCAAGAAGTCATTTGACTGAGTAGAATGGCCATACCTATTTAAAGTACTTAACTGCTTGAAGTGTGAGAGAATTTCGTTAACTGGATAAAGCTGATAGACCATGCCCCTCAGGCCGCTGTGATAACAAATGGAATGCAGTCACCCACTTTCTTTCTGGGTAGAGGGACACGCCATGGTTGCCCACTGTCACCTCTGTTATTTGCCTTGGTATTAGAGCCCCTGTCAGAGGCTATACGTACCCAGGAAGGTCTTACAGGTGTGAAGACTGAAAAACACTCCCATTATATCTCTATATGCAATTGATATTTTGCTATTAATGTCTAACCCAGAAACCTCTTCCCATTCTTATTGACTTAATTAAGAGGTTTAGCTCCTTTTTCTGGCTTCAAAATTAATTTTAATAAATCAGAAGCTATGCCCCTAGGGAGCTTGAGTGACAACAACAATTTGAATGACTTCCCGTTCAATTGGACATTTGTTTTGTTTTGTTTTTTGGTATAAAAATGTTGAATAAACTTCACAACCTGTCTAACATCAGCTTTGCACCTGTACATAGGGCAGTTAATGAAGACCTAGATAGGTGGATGGACCTGCCATTATCATGGATGGGTAGAATTAATCTGATTTAAAATTATGAATGTTTTCACCAGACTTTTGTTTCTCCAGATGGTCCCATTATATATAAAGAAAAATAATTTTAATGAACTCAATAAATACCTCTCAGACTTTATATGGCACGGCACAGAAAAAGACCAAGGTTGAAAATTTGTAAACTGCAGCTGCCGTATAATTTAGGAGGCCTAACACTACCTAATTTGCTATTTTATAACTGGGCATGTCATGCTCGCAAAATTGCAGAATGGCTCAGAGATGAACATTGCTCTAATTGGGTCAGTAATGACTCCTGTTTCACATCTCCATACTCATTCATCAGTGTTATGACTGGTGATAGAAACTCAGTCAGCACAGAAGTGAAGCATAACCCGATTCTTAACAGCACCTTTAAGATCTGGAGAGATATTTGCAAACACTTTGGGAGAAAGGATTACTTTCCCCCTGGCACCTCTGATAGCATTTTCCACCTCCCTCACAGAACCCAATACGAACTGCAGTGGACCTCCTGTTGAAAGTTGAAAGACCTAAACACTTTATCTCTTCATTTTAAGCTGCCATACACTCTAATGTTGAAAGTAACTAAAGTGCTCTGATTAGGGTATGGGAAACAGAGCTGGGGAGAGGCACAGAAATTCAAAATTGGACAAAGGCTATGCTCGAAGCAAGACAACTGTTCACCTACAACAAGGTGCAAGAGATGCAATATAAGATTATGCAAAGGGTTCATAGGACTCCCATTATATGTAATAAAATGAAAGCAGAATTCTCTGATACCTATTGGCCATCTGTTTTGGACTTTCCCATTAATTAAAATGTTCTGGGAAAATGTCAAAACGAAGCTGGAGGGCATGTTCATACAGTGCCTTCGGAAAGTGTTCAGACCCCTTGACTTTTTCCACATCTTGTTACGTTACAGCCTTATTCTAAAATGGATTAAATAAAACAATATCCTCAGCAATCTGCACACAATACCCCATAATGACAAAGAAAAAACAGGTTTTTAGAAATGTTTACAAAAATACCTTATTTACGTAAGTATTCAGAACCTTTCCTATGAGACTCGAAATTGAGCTCAGATGTATCCCGTTTCCATTGATCATCCTTGAGATGTTTCTACAACTTGATTGGAGTCTACCTGTGGTAAATTCAATTGATTGGACATGATTTGGAAAGGCAAACACCTGTCTACATAAGGTCCCACAGTTGACAGTGCATGTCGGAGGAATTGTCCGTAGAGCTCCGAGACAGGATTGTGTCGAGGCACAAATCTGGGGAAGGGTACCAAAAAGTTGCTGCAGCATTGAAGAACACAGTGGTCTCCATCATTCTTAAATGGAAGAAGTTTGGAACCACCAAGACTCTTCCTAGAGCTGGCCGCCCGGCCAAACTGAGCAATTGGGGAAGAAGGGCCTTGGTCAGGGAGGTGAACAAAAACCCGATGGTCACTCTGACAGAGCTCCAGAGTTCATCTATGGAGATGGGAGAACCTTTCAGAAGGACAACCATCTCTGCAGCACTCCCCCAATCAGGCATTTATGGTAGAGTGGCCAGACGAAAGCCACTTCTCAATAAAAAGCACATGACAGCCCCCTTGGAGTTTGCCAAAAGGCACCTAAAGACTCTCAGACCATGAGAAACAAGATTCTCTGGTCTGATGAAACCAAGATTGAACTCTTTGACCTGAATGCCAAGCATCACGTCTGGAGGAAACCTGGCACCATCCCTACGGTGAAGGATAGTGGTGGCAGCATCATGCTGTGGGGATGTTTTTCAGCTGAAGGGACTTGGAGACTAGTCAGGATCGAGGGAAAGATGAACGGAGCAAAGTAGAGAGCGATCCTTGATGAGAACCTGCTCCAGAGTGCACAGGACCTCAGACTGGGGCAAAGGTTCACCTTCCAACAGGACAATGACCCCTAGCACACAGCCAAGACAACGCAGGAGTGGCTTCGGGACAAGTCCCTGAATGTCCTTGAGTGGCCCAGCCAGAGTCCGGACTTGAACCAGATCGAACATCTCTGGAGAGACCTGAAAATAGCTGTGCAGCGACACTCCCCATCCAACCTGATAGAGCTTGAGAGGATCTGCAGAGAAGAATGGGAGAAACTCCCCAAATATAGGTGTGCCAAGCTTGTAGCGTCATACCCAAGAAGACTCAAGGCTGTATCGCTGCCAAAGGTGCTTCAACAAAGTACTGAGTAAAGGGTCTGAATATTTATGTAAATGTGATACTAAAGCAGGACGTACCAGTGACTCGCTCAATACGGAATTGGTCAGATGACACAGATGCTAAGCTACAGGACTGTTTTTCTAGCACAGACTGGAATATGTTAAGGGATTCTTCAGATAGCATTGAGGAGTACACCACATCAGTAACTGGCTTCATCAGTAAGTGCATTGATGACATCGTCCCCACAGTGACCGTACGTACATACCCCAACCATAAGCCATGGATTACAGGCAACATCCGCACTGAGCTAAAGGGTAGAGCTGCCACTTTCAAGGAGCAGCACTCTAACCCGGACGCTTATAAGAAATCCTGCTATGCCCTCTAACGAACCATCAAACAGGCAAAGCGTCAATACAGGACTAAGATTGAATCCTACTGCACCGGCTCCGACGCTCGTCGGATGTGGCAGGGCTTGCAAACTATTAAGGACTACAAATGGAAGCACAGCCGCGAGCTGCCCAGTGACACTAGCCTACCAGACGAGCTAAATTACTTCTATGCACGCTTCGAGGCAAGCAACACCGAAGCATGCATGAGAGCACCAGCTGTTCCGGACGACTGTGTGATCACGCTCTCTGTAGACGATGTGAGTAAGACCTTTAATAATAATAAAATGCCATTTAGCAGACGCTTTTATCCAAAGCGACTTACAGTCATGCGTGCATATATATATATTTTTTGTGTATGGGTGGTCCCGGGGATCGAACCCACTACCTTGGCGTTACAAGCGCCGTGCTCTACCAGCTGAGCTACAGAGGACCACAGGTCACTTTAAACAGGTCAACATTCACAAGGCCGCAGGGCCAGACGGATTACCAGAACGTGTACTCCGAGCATGAGCTGACCAACTGGCAAGTGTCTTCACTGACAATTTCGACCTCTCCCTGACCGAGTCTGTAATACCTACATGTTTCAAGCAGACCACCATAGTCTCTGTGCCCAAGAAAGTGAAGGTAACCTGCCTAAATGACTACCGCCTCGTAGCACTCACGTCAGTAGCCATAAAGTGCTTTAAAAGGCTGGTCCATGGCTCACATCAACACCATTATCCCAGAAACCTTCAATTTGCATACCGTGCAAACAGATCCACAGATGACGCAATCTCTATTGTACTCCTCACTGCCCTTACCCACCTGGACGAAAGGAACACCTACGTGAGAATGCTATTCATTGACTACAGCTCAGCGTTCAACACCATAGTGCCCTCAAAGCTCATCCCTAAACTAAGGACCCTGGGATTAAACACCTCCTTCTGCAACTGGATCCTGGACTTCCTGACGGGCCGCCCCCAGGTGGTAAGGGTAGGTAACAACACATCTGCCACTCTGATTCTCAAAACAGGGGCCCCTCAGGAGTGCGTGCTCAGTCCCCTCCTGTACTCCCTTTTCACCCATTACTGCATGGCCAAGCACGACTCCAACACCATCATTAAGTTTGCCGACGACACAACAGTGGTAGTCCTGATCGCCGACAACGATGAGACAGCCTATAGAGAGGAAGTCAGAGACCTGGCAGTGTTGTGCCAGGATAAAAACCTCTCCCTCAACGTGATCAAGACAAAGGAGATGATCGTGGACAACAGGAAAAGGAGTGCTGAGCACGCCCCCATTCTCATCGATGGGGCTGTAGTGGAGCAAGTTGAGAGCTTCAACTTCCATGGTGTCCACATCACCAACAAACTATCATGGTCTAAACACACCAAGACAGTCATGAAGAGGGCATGACAACGCCTATTCCCCCTCAGGAGACTGAAAAGATTTGGCAAGGGTCCTCAAATCCTCAAAAAGTTATACAGCTGCACCATCGAGAGCATCCTGACTGGTTGCATCACCACCTGGTATGGCAACTGCTCAGCCTTCGACCGCAAGGCACTACAGAGGGTAGTGCGTACGGCTCAGTACATCACTGGGGCCAAGCTTCCTGCCATCCTGGACCTACAGTGGGGAGAACAAATATTTGATACATTGCTGATTTTGCAGGTTTTCCTACTTACAAAGCATGTAGAGGTCTGTAATTTTTATCATAGGTACACTTCAACTGTGAGAGACGGAATCTAAAACAAAAATCCAGAAAATCACATTGTATGATTTTTAAGTAATTAATTTGCTTTTTATTGCATGACATAAGTATTTAATACATCAGAAAAGCAGAACTTAATATTTGGTACAGAAACCTTTGTTTGCAATTACAGAGATCATACGTTTCCTGTAGGTCTTGACCAGGTTTACACACACTGCAGCAGGGATTTTGGCCTACTCCTCCATACAGACCATCTCCAGGTCCTTCAGGTTTCGGGGCTGTCGCTGGGCGATACGGACTTTCAGCTCCCTCCAAAGATTTTCCATTGGCTAGGCCACTCCAGGACCTTGAGATGCTTCTTACGGAGCCACTCCTTAGTTGCCCTGGCTGTGTGTTTCGGGTCGTTGTCATGCTGGAAGACCCAGCCACGACCCATCTTCAATGCTCTTACTGAGGGAAGGAGGTTGTTGGCCAAGATCTCACGATACATGGCCCCATCCATCCTCCCCTCAATACAGTGCAGTCGTCCTGTCCCCTTTGCAGAAAAGCATCCCCAAGGAATGATGTTTCCACCTCCATGCTTCACGGTTGGGATGGTGTTCTTGGGGTTGTACTCATCCTTCTTCTTCCTCCAAACACGCCGAGTGGAGTTTAGACCAAAAAGCTCTATTTTTGTCTCATCAGACCACATGACCTTCTCCCATTCCTCCTCTGGATCATCCAGATGGTCATTGGCAAACTTCAGACGGGCCTGGACATGCGCTGGCTTGAGCAGGGGGACCTTGCGTGCGCTGCAGGATTTTAATCCATAGTAGGAAAACCTGCAAAATCGGCAGTGTATCAAATACTTGTTCTCCCCACTGTATATACTAGGCGTTGTCAGAGGAATGCCCTAAAAAATGTCAAAGACTCCAGCCATTCAAGTCATAGACTGTTCTCTCTGCTACCGCACGGAAAGCCGTACCAGAGCGCCAGGTCTTGGACCAAAAGGCTTCTTAACAGCTTCTACCCCCAAGCCATAAGACTCCTGAACAGCTAATCAAATGGCTGCCCGGACTATTTACAGTGACCCCCTTGTATTATTTGATTATTTTTCACTGACTCTTGCACTGGCTTTATGCACACTCACTAGACTCTACCCACACACTCACACATACTACATTGACACTCCAACACTCCAACACACACACACACACACACATGCATATTGACACCATACACACTCACACATAGACACACTTTCACACTCTTCACATACCCTGCTGCTACTCTGTTTATGATCTATCCTGATTGCCTAGATATACATACTGTATTACTCTATGTAGGGTAGTGTCTTTGTAGAGATGTTGTCATCACAAGTTTACCTCATATCAAACTGATATAAACTAATCCTGTGTGTGTGTGTGTGTGTGTGTGTGTGTGTGTGTGTGTGTGTGTGTGTGTGTGTGTGTGTGTGTGTGTGTGTGTGTGTGTGTGTGTGTGTGTGTGTGTGTGTGTGTGTGTGTGTGTGTGTGTGTGTGTGTGTGTGTGTGTGTGTGTGTGTGTGTGTGTGTGTGTGTGTGTGTGTGTGTGTGTGTGAATTCCTTTGAATTATGCCAGAGTGAATAATATCTGCCTGTGTTTGGAGCACCCTTAAGGCGTCAGCATGCTTCAGCCTAGCCGAACTGAACGAGTGTGCTCGTATACTCCCTTAAAATACCTTTTCTTGAAAAACGAGAAAAAAGCGGCAATAGTACTGTTTGTCCGTTTTGAGACACCGTAGCCAGTATACGCTTCCTCAAAATAGTCAGAAATAATCTAAGATAACTGAAGAAATCTGTCATTAATTTTGACGTTTTTGCCGAAGAGATCTTAGTCACACAATTTTACATCTAACTAAGATGTTTGGTGCAGTATTTTTTTAATGAATTAATCTCTCGTTGAATGAAGACTTAATTGAAAAATCCCTACTGATGACCAATCACCGACGAAGGGGTGTAGACTTCGGCTTGCCTCCAGAAAAAAATGTGTGTGCCCGAACAGCCGATAAACCCCTCACCGAAATCCAAAACGAACAATAACGTCACAGAATGTCATCATAATATATGCACAAACTTTACCGAACTGTTTCGACTGGGAAGCATGCGGACTCCTTTATGCGATCACATCTGTAAGAGGCTATTTGGACAATGGTCCTCCTCTCCTTCCCTCCTTCCCCTCTCTCATCTCACTCATTCTAAATCAGCACTACCTCTCCGCCTTCTTACTTGTCCACCTGAACACTCATCTCCCTCCTCATCCCTCTCCTTTTTCCTCCATTACTTGCTCCCTCCTCCCCCTCTCTTCTACTCGGCTCCCTCTCTCTTTCTAACTTCAAGTCTGTATTCATTCCTTCTCTTTCTTAAGTTTGTTTTTTATCCTTCCATCACTGTGGCTATCATCTGCAAACTTTTACTAATCTCTTTAATCTAAGTGTTACCAACGCAACACTCCAAACCCACCATGGGGTAGTAAAATACACTCTTAACCTTAACCATCAGGGAGGGGAACACAAAACTGACCTTAGCTCAGTGTCTAACGGCAACTTCATAAACTCATGGCAGACTTTGGGAGGTGGTGACATTTTATTGTATACAGAAACTAGTGTGAAAGAGCAAAGGGGAGTGAGAAAGGGGGAGGGAGAAGAGGGGACAAATATCTGAAATGTAAATTGAAGAGGGGCGACTGAGTAGAGGTCATTAAAGTTATACTCTTCCAATCAGAGGACTATACTGTACCAGTCTATGGGAAAGTAAAAAATGTGTGTTAGCCTTTTACACAGATGGTAAAGAGACTATGGAAGAGAAGACAGGCTGACACACACAGTACTATACTTAATGTAGGCCTACATCAACTTTAAATACACCTGATGCGTGTGTATATCTGAACACTGTTCTGAACTTCTGACCTGATCAACTGAGGCCCCACTGGGTTAAAACTGCTTGAATCAACGTTGTCTCCACATAATTTCTACGAAGAAAATGATATGTGATGATGTTGAGTCAATGGGGAAAACTAATTGGATTTGCAGAAAGTCATAAACGAAAGGGAATTTCGTATTTTTTTCACCCAACTTTTAATTGAAATCCAATGGCAGGGTGACATTTTTGGTTGATTTTATGTTGAATTCAACTCAACCAAATGTAAATAAAAACTAAACATTGAACTAACGTCTGTGCCCAGTGTGGCCCTTCAAAATGTTTACATAAAGTCCTCAGGGTCTCTCTCTCTCTCATAAGCACACACACTGTAATTAAAGGTAACAAGCAATATTGCTCAATAATGAATTGAATAGCAGACAGTGTGTGAGAAACCAGTGTTTGTATTCCCAGTCAAGCTTAGCCGTACCTGGTCAAACAAAGGTTCATGAATAGCACCTGAATCCTAACTGAAGTAAATCCTGAATGGGATAAATCCACAGCCTAAGGGACAGATTAATTCTGACCCTTAGTAACCCCTGATCCCCAGTGACCTTTGGATCCTCTCTCTCAATCTATGACACACTGGGATTGTTCCCTCAAGGTAATCTTGTTGTTCCTCTTAGGTGTGTGTGTGTTCATGTGTTCATCTGTGCGTTCATGCATTTGTTCTATTGTGTGTGTGTGTGTGTGTGTGTGTGTGTGTGTGTGCGCATTTGTGCATGTATGTGTGTGTTTTCTTTTCCTTCATACTCTCACCTGCCTTAGTGAGGGAAAATGCTAGGATTACAATGACTGGTCTCTGCCTGGGGCCTCCAAATCACTAAGTCCTCCCCTGAACTCAGGCATTGTCTTTGCAACACACATTGTCCCCGCTCTCAATGACAGGCTAATTGTGTGTGTAGTGCGTGTGTGTGAATGGCTTTGTCTTTCACAGTTCTGCTTACAGAAGATCTCACACGATTCCAGGGGAAAGAATACTATATTCTGTTAATACAATCATCCAGAAGGAATGTATTATGGAAGCTGTCCTTTGTGTCTGATTAATCTCAATGCTAGTCACTGGGAAGTACAAATCTGAAGAAAGATGGGATTACAAACCTAGTATAAGAAATTAAGCAGAGTAACTTGCCAGTTAGGCTGGTCTGAAGCCGAAAAGTAAAGTAAATTCACATGAGCATCACAAGACCTACAGTGCCTTGCAAAAGTATTCAGTCCCCCTTGGCGTTTTTCCTATTTTGTTGCATTACAACCTGTAATTTAAATGGATTTTTATTTGAATTTCATGTAATGGACATACACAAAATAGTCCAAATTGGTGAAGTGAAATTAAAAAAATAACTTGTTTCAAAGAATTCTAAGAAATATATAACGGAAAAGTGGTGTGTGCATATGTATTCATCCCCTTTGCTATGATCCCCTAAATAAGATAATAAAGTCCACCTGTGTGCAATCTAAGTGTCACATGATCTGTCACATGATCTCAGTATATATACACCTGTTCTGGAAGGCTGCAGAGTCTGCAACACCACTAAGCAAGAGGCACCACCAAGCAAGTGGCACCATGAAGACCAAGGAGCTCTCCAAACAGGTCAGGGACAAAGTTGTGGAGAAGTACAGATCAGGGTTGGATTATAAAATAATATCTGAAACTTTGAACATCCCACGGAGCACCATTAAATCCATTGTTAAAAAATTGAAAGAGAATGGCACCACAACAAACCTGCACCACAACAAACCTGCCAAGAGAGGGCCGCCCACCTAAACTCACGGACCAGGCAAGGAGGGCATTAATCAGAGAGGCAACAAAGAGACCAAAGATAACCCTGAACACAGCGGAGATTGGAGTATCTGTCCATAGGACCACTTTAAGCCGTACACTCCACAGAGCTGGGCTTTACGGATGAGTGGCCAGAAAAAATACATTGCTTAAAGAACAAAATAAGCAAACACATTTGGTGTTCGCCAAAAGGCATGTGGGAGACTCCCCAAACAAATGGAAGAAGTTAGTCTGGTCAGATGAGACTAAAATTTAGCTTTTTGGCCATCAAGGAAAACGCTATGTCTGGCACAAACCCAACACCTCTCATCACCCCGAGAACACCATCCCCACAGTGAAGCATGGTGGTGGCAGCATCATGCTGTGGGGATGTTTTTCATAGGCAGGGACTGGGAAACTGGTCAGAATTGAAGGAATGATGGATGGCGCTAAATACAGGGAAAGTCTTGAGGGAAACCTGTTTCAGTATTCCAGAGATTTGAGACTGGGACGGAGGTTCACCTTCCAGCAGGACAATGACCCTGAGCATACTGCTAAAGCAACACTCGAGTGGTTTAAGGGGAAACATTTAAATGTCTTGGAATGGCCTAGTCAAAGCCCAGACCTCAATCCAATTGAGAATCTGTGGTATGACTTAAAGATTGCTGTACACCAGCGGAACCCATCCAACTTGAAGGAGCTGGAGCAGTTTTGCCTGAGGTACTGAGCGCTCTGGAGCAGGTTTTCATCAAGGATCTCCCTGTACTTTGCTCCGTTCATCTTTCCCTCGATCCTGACTAGTCTCCCAGTCCCTGCCGCTGAAAACATCCCCACAGCATGATGCTGTCACCACTATGTTTCACCGTAGGGATGGTGCCAGGTTTCCTCCAGACGTGATGCTTGGCATTCAGGCCAAAGAGTTCAATCTTGGATTTATCAGACCGGAGAATCTTGTTTCTCATGGTCTGAGAGTCCTTTAGGTGCCTTTTGGCAAACTCCAACCAGGCTTTCATGAGCCTTTTACTGAGGAGTGGCATCCGTCTGGCAACTCTACCATAAAGGCCTGATTGGTGGAGTGCTGCAGAGATGGTTGTCCTTCTAGAAGGTTCTCCCATCTCCACAGAGGAACTCTGGAGCTCTGTCAGAGTGACCATCGGGTTCTTGGTCACCTCCCTGACCAAGGCCCTTCTCCCCCGACAGCTCAGTTTGGCCAGGCGACCAGCTCTAGGAAGAGTCTTGGTTGTAGAAACATCTCAAGGATGATCAATGGAAACAGGATGCACCTGAGCTTAATTTCGAGTCTCATAGCAAAGTGTCTGAATACTTATATAAATAAGGTGTGTATATATATTTATTTTATTTGCTGAAATTTCTTAAAACCAGTTTTTGCTTTGTCATTATAAGGTATTGTGTGTAGATTGATGATGATTTTTATTTATTTAATCCATTTTAGAATAAGGCTGTAACGTAACAAAATGTGGAAAAAGGGAATGGGTCTGAATACTTTCCGAATGCACTGTAAGCACAGGAGGTTGGTGAAACCTTAATTTGGGAGGACGGGCTAGTGGTAATGGCTGGAGCGGAATAGGTGGAATGGTATCAAACACATGGTTTCCATGTGTTTGATGCCATTCCATTTGCACCGTTCCAGCCATTAGTATGAGCCGTCCTCACCTCAGCAGCCTCCACTGCATATAAGGGTGGTTTTCCGGACACAGACTTAGCCTATTTCTAAACTAACTAACAGTAGAGATTGTCTCTTGGAAGTGCTTCTTAGTCCAGGGAAATCGGCCAATAGAGAGTCACTTGTTATTAATAAGGAGCTAGATAAGGAGCTACACAGTACACTTTTTTTTTTTTAAAGGAGTACCCTTTTTGGTTCCAGGTAGAACCCTTTCCACATAGGGTTCTACATGAAAGCCAAAAGGATTATACCTGGAACAAATGAGGGTTCTCCTATGGGGACAGCCGAAGAACCCTTTGGAACCCTTTTTCTTAGAGTGTACATTTATTGTTGATAATTATCTGCGACGTGTGTGACTGCTCAACCATGGCTGCAGATAAGAATCTTCTTAATACAACTTACAGAATATACCAGCTACTAGTACCTTCATGAGGTGGAGAAGTCAGACATTTCTTGTCCACAAGTCTTCTCTTTCCAGGAATCATGTTGATCTAGGATCAGATTCCCTCTGTCCATGTGATGTTATTCGTTGTGAACAAAAAGCTAAACTGATCCTAAAAGAATTGCCACACTGGGGGAACCTTTCCAGTTCAAAAAGGTTCCTTGAGGAACCCCTCTGAAAAGGGTCTTTGAGGAATCCCTGTGTAAAGGTATTATTTGAACCTTTTTAGTAATATATTCTAGAGGTGGCAGCCTATCAGAAGATTGGAGGTGTTGCTTATTGGAGGCGTGGCTTTCAGATAGTTATTGTTGGCTGCAAATTGAAATGTTTCTTGAATATTTATGCATATTACATATTCTATAATGGTATTAATAATACTAACATTGCTGATTACATATAGTAATAAAGGGGTAACTATTCCAACTTTTTTTTTTTTTTTTTTTGCATAGGCTCTTGAAGAACTCGGTGTTTAACCTTAACATGTGATGACAATACAACAGAACAGATGACCCAGACTGACATTTACTCCCATGGGTGTCCTAAAAATATATATCTGAAAGCCACTTTCGTTTCGATTCATGACGTTCTGGCATGTCTGCCTACAGGCCATTTGTTGGGAGAGTAGTCTGTCTGAAGAGGACCCTCCCCAGAACACTTTTTTTTCCTTCCTTCCGTTTTGAATTTACCAAGACAGTCTGTCATGATTTCCACACCTTAGTCACTGCTGTTACCTGTGGGTCGGGTTTCCGAGACAAAGCCCAGCCTTTACAGTCTTTATCATTGAGTCTGTGCCCCTGGAACGTTTTTTTTTAGGACTATCATTTCCTCCACCAGGCTGTTTGTCTCCCTTCTTTCCGTAGGCCTAGGCTATTGGTACACTCAAGACAAAGTTGTTTTTAATTATTTAAGTTTGTCAGTGTCATTTCGTTATTTTTTGTGGTATTTAAAAATATTCTAAATGTCACCAGTCTTTAAAATGACGTCATAATTGCATGTAATGCGTTTAGAAAAGGCAAACATTTTCCTGGACCTCCTAAAATAATTGACCCCTGGGGCTGAGCCTCGAATGTGTGCTCTATTCAGAACGGTCATTTTAAATTAGTGAGTTAAATTAACAATTAAGTCGTGAGTTAAATTAACATATTAGGCTGCAGTGACTAGGCCTACTATTACCGAATGTAGGCTAGAGAGTCTGCGGGTCCGGACAAAGATAATTGCGGCGCGGCGGCATGTTTCATGCTGCGGTCGGGAGCGGGTAGTCTGACAGACAACTTTTTTTGTCCAGCAGATTATTTGGAAATGGTCTAATTTCTGTTTTGTATGCTGTAGCCTAGGCCAACCAATTGTATTAAAAGTACCGCATTATTCACACACCCTCATCATTGGCTTCATGTTCTGTAGCCTACCTCTCCTCGCCTAGTTGAGCATGCGAGATCAAGTGCGCCTGTATGTGTAATCTCAATGGAATAGAGTATGCTGCCTATAATCAATTGGCAGTTATCTTGCCAAGGAAATGTGCTTAAATATGATTAGGCTATAGTTTACTATAGTGTCTGTAAATAAATGTTAGTCGAAAGAAGTGGAGGGCGCTCAACTAACGGAAGACGATGTGCAATAAAACAATTATATCATCACTGACAAGGAAAGGGCACAACGCGCGCATACCATGGTGAGCGAGCGTTCCGCCTTTTCAATAAATATTGATTACCCATTTATTTGTCTCTGCCTGCAAATCGTCCTGCACCTAAACCTGCTCCTAAAAGGTAGGCTATGTCCTATATGTAAAACGTAAAAGAAAGTGCAAGTGTCCGCTCTCATCATTCTTGCTACTTCAAGTTCAGTAGCCTTTCCTCTTTTCTTGTGCATGCGAGATCAGGTGCGCGTGCATGTGGTCTTAATTAAATAGAGTAGACTTATATGCATGGTCGGAGAAGCACGGGGCAGTTATCTTTCCAAGGAAATAAACTTCCTAAATAGGATTAAGCTATAGTTTACTACATTGCCTGGAAATAAATATTGATCACCCATATTTGTCTCCGTCTGAAAATCGTCCCGCTCCTAAAAGGTAGGCTATATGCTAAATGTAGCTCAAGAGAAAGTGCAAGTGTCTGAGCTCTCTCCAACTCTGCTGTCTTCAAACTACGTCTATCCTATTGGCTGATAGGCCTATAGCCGAGTACTGATTGCCTAATATAAAGTGAGAATTTGTTAATTTAAAATATTTCTTAGGTCCCTCCTATAGCTCAGTTGGTAGAGCATGGCGCTTCCAACGTCAGGGTTGTGGGTTCGATTCCCACGGGGGGCCAGTATGAAAAGTGTATGTACTCACTAACTGTAAGTTGCTCAGGATAAGAGCGTCTGCTAAATTACTTAAATGTAAAATGTTGTTTTTGCACATTTTGATATTGCCTATAGGGCGTAAAATTGCTGGGACCATGGATGGCAAGCGAGCTGCTTCACATATGCCTAAAATAACATTGTGCAGACCTCTAGCCTAGGACTACTTATCACACTAGGAATTGTATTTTACTGTTAGTCTGCAAATGCGATGATAGATGCATGCAATGCTTTATTATAAAGGTGCATTTTTACTCCCCCCACCCATAACCATAGAAATAGTATTCCATACATTGTGCAGTATGGCAAAACAAAATCTTAACTTTAATAATATAAATATTGCCTAACACATAATGCATTCAGGAGAATAAGTTAATTACAAAGTAGCTTCAATATGGTTTATATATGGTAAATAATGCTACTTGAAGTCACTATCAATTTCTGAGACAGCAAGGAATTTCAGAACCCTGCTTGGGCTAACTGCTATAGACACTCAGACAAAGCAAACATTCATGGAAAATGTCATGGGATGCATTTCCTCCATCTTTACGATTTTGTTGGTGTTGGTACGGCCCATTATTTGATGGTTTAAGAAAGTTACATTTTGGTTCTGGATCTCAGACTATTCCTTTTCATCCTCTTCATCCTCACACTCCTCCTCCTCAGCGGTGGCGTAGGGTATAGGGTGCCATTTGATATGCAGATGCTGTAATATTTTGTAATGTTCTTCACTTTAGGTCATAATGTGGATCTGACAGGAATCCCTCATAGTCAGATTTCTGCAGGTACCAAGGAGGTAGGGGTAACAATGACGAATCCCAAATGGATCCTCATCAAATCAAATTTTATTTGTCACGTGCCGAATACAACAGGTGTAGACCTTACCGTGAAATGCTTACTTACAAGCCCTTCCCAACATAAAAAAAATAATAACACGAGGAATAAAATAGACAATAATGAAGCTATTTACAGGGTGTACCAGTACCATATCAATGTGCAGGGGTACAAGGTATTTGAGGTACATACTTTTGTGTATATATAGTGTATGTGGACACCCCTTCAAATAAGTGGATTCGACTATTTCAGCCACACCCGTTGCTGACAGGTGTGTAAAATCGAGCACACATCCATGCAATCTCCATAGACAAACTAGTGGAAAGCCTTCGCAGAAGAGTGGAGGCTGTTATAGCAGCAAAGGGGGGACCAACTCCATATTAATGCCCATGATTTTGGAATGAGATGTTCGACGCGCACTTTTGATCATGTAGTGTATGTACATAAAGGCAGGGGTAAAGTGACTAGGCATCAGGATAGATAATAATAAGAGTAAAATAAAGAACATAGTAGCAGCAGCATATGGTGTGTGTGTGTGTGTGTGTGTTTATGTAGTGCATGTAGTATGTATGGGTTTGTGTGAGAGTGTCAGTGTAGTGTGTGTGTGTGTGTTTATGTAGTGCATGTAGCATGTATGGGTTTGTGTGAGAGTGTCAGTGTAGTGTGTGTGTGTGTTTGAAGGAGTGGGTAGAATCTTGTGAGTATGCATAGATTCAGTGCAAGATAGGGTCAATGCAGATAGTCTGGGTAACCATTTTATTAACTATTTAACAATCTTATGGCTTGGGGTTAGAAACTGTCTCGGAGCCTGTTGGTCCGAGAGCCGATCCTCCGGTACCGTTTGCTGGACAGTAGCAGAGTGAACAGTCTATGGCTTGGGTGGCTGAAGTCTTTGGTAATTTTTTGGGCCTTCCTCTCTTCATGACTGTGCGAGTGTTTGTGGACCATGTTAAGTCCTTAGTGATCAGGCCTACCACCGTCGTGTCATCAGCAAACTTGATGATGGTGTTGGAGTCGTCGTGCGTGCCCACGCAATCGTGGGTGAACAGGAGTACAGGAGGTGACTAAGCACACACCCCTGAGGGGCCCCCGTGTTGAGGGTCAGCGTGGCAGAGGTGTTGTTGCCTACCCTCACCACCTGGGGCCGGCCCGTCAGGAAGTCCAGGATCCAGTTGCAAAATCCACTAGCCCCTAATTTGGGATTTTATCAGGCCAGGCCAGGCCAGGCTCTTCTCTGTCCTGGCACCCCAATGGTGGAACTAGCTTCCCCCTGAAGCTAGGACAGCAGAGTCCCTGCCCATCTTCCGAAAGCACCTGAATCCCTACCTTTTCAAAAAGTATCTTAAATAATCCCGCTCCTCACCTCGACCCTCACCCCCCAATTTTATTTTACTGAACCAACACTTTCACTTGACTCCCCCCCCCCCCCCCCAGCTCTGACTTTGCTGATAGCTCTCCTACCACATCTGATCAGCTGAGAGTGCTAATATCCTTTGGCATAGATCCTGTTCTCTCAGTTAGACCAGATGTTTTTTGTCACTGTTACTTCTATCATTTGAAAACAGTCAAATGTTTTATTATCAATGTTGTTTGTCCCTCAACTGCCAGTCATCCCAGTTTTCTGAGAACGTGTTATCACTAATCACACTGCTAATCTTGGCTTCACTTGGGGATTGCAGTGGTATGATTCCAACATATTTTGTTATAGGAAAAAATTATCATAATCTGCTCCAGTCTCCAGCAAAGTCATTTAAAATCATACCCAAACCATGTGCAGGCGAGTTGCCGCGCCCTGAACCCTGAACTCAAAGAAAACAAGCATTTGAAATGTTCTTGTTTTGCTCTGCTAATATAGAGTTAAAACATAGGCACAAAACCTGCCTTAAGAAACCGTTTTTTATTTACAGAACGGATTTTTTGGAGAGCCATGGTTTTAACATTTCAGTCCAGGGGAGGGTTTATTGTTTTTTATTTCAGTACAGGGGAAGGTCTTGTAATTTGTAATTGATAAAATGTTCAATATTTCCAAGTGTTTTAGAAATAGTTGCTTATTATTATATCTCTATGTCTTCCTGATGCCAACCCTAATCTCTGCTCAGCAGCACGATTCTCCGCTGAGTGCCATGACGGAAGATCAAATGCGCCTACAATTTAGGCCTAGTGTGGTTAGGTAACAGTGGTCTCAATCAAATTATCAATATCCTATAGGCTATAGGCCTACGAAGTGCATGCTCGGAGAAACACAGCACAAAGTTATATTTTTAACGTGTGTGTAGAGATCTTTTTGGCTTTCCAAGACACTCCTTTTGCATGTGGATATGTCTATTGATGCTGTGCCTACGATGGTTGCGTCATTGTTATGCTCATAATTTGTTTAAACTACATAGCAGCTGGCTTTCTGTAGCTTAGATATACAATAGGTTAGCAATAGAGGCAAGCGCTATGTTATGGTAGGCTGTAAGTAGATGTAGTGTCATGACTCAGGTTAAGCTTCATAATGTTCGCACACAGACACACACACACACACACACACTTGTACCCGCCTCTGTTTGGTCATTACTATATCATAGCCTCTCAACTGGAGAACTAATTAGAGCAGATGCTATACTGCTGAGTCGGCTTCACACACACCCACAGGCACACACACACAGTGAGCGGCAGAGCACAAACTGTGTCACTGGGGTGGACATGTAAGAGGGCACTTTAATAAATGATTATTTCCTCTATCCTCTTCCTCTAACTTTTCCGCCCGGGAGGAAAAGGAGGAGCCCAGGAGAGAGGAGAGAAACGGAGAGAGAGAAGAGAGAGAGAGAGAGAGAGAGAGAGAGAGAGAGAGGAGAGGAGAAGAGAGGGAAAGAGAGAGAAGGAGAGAGAGAGAGGCGGAAGGAGAGAGGAGGAAGAGGGAAAGAAGAGAGAGAGAGAGAGGGGAGAGCGAAAAGGAGAGAGAGAGAGAGAGGGAAGAAAAGAGAGAGAGAGAGAGAGAGAGAGGGGAAGAGAAAAAGGGAGAGAGAGAGAGAGGGGAAGAGAGGAAGGAGAGAGAGAAGAGAGAGCAGCGAGAGATTAGCTGAGAGAGAGCGAGACGGGAGGGAGGAGAGACTCGATAGGAAGAGAGAAGGAGGGAAGCGCAAATAGAAGAGAGAGAGAGATCTTTTACCCCAGAGAGGGGACTGCTTTGATTTTCTCAATTTATGTCTGATTCTGTTCTCTCTCTACTCACTACGCTCTCTATATCAGTATAGATCTTGCTCATCTTTAGACGCCGGCCTCCTCTCTTCAATATACTTCTCTCTATCTCTCTCTCTCTCTCTTAACCCTCCTCTCATCCCTCCCCTCCTCTATCTCCCCCCAGGTCTGTTGGGCTGCAGGCGTTTCCAGACCTCAGTAGTGAACTACAGTACTCTGCTACTAGAGGAGGACAGGGGTCTTCTCTATTTGGTGGGCCCTGGGGGCCGCGCTTCTCTCTCAACGCCACAGACATCTCAGACAGCACAGCTCGCACTGTAAGAGAGAGAGAGAGGGAGAGAGTGAGTGAGCGAGAGAGATTGTGTGTGCGATTTCAGGGAACTTACAGTAAAGAATTGTGGATCTTACCACTCCCACTATTTTCTACTAAACATCTCTATTGCAAGGTAAACATCCCCACCTTGAGTCAGTGGCTAGGTCCTAAATATCTCTTCTTCCTCCCAAAGTGTTCACTTGTTCAGTTTCCTTCAATGATTTGAAAGAAATTGCTGATATAAAAAATGTGGGTCATGCCTACACCAATCCAATGCTTTTTAGGTTTGTGGGAACTGGGAAGTAGTGAACAAGTGTACACTTCAGGAAAAATTAGATATTATTGGGACGCAGTGACTGTCGCTCCAAGAACATTAGCCTACTGTCTAGTTATTGTTAAGGGCACAAAATGATGTTCTGTCACTTAATCTAGCTACACTAGGACAGTAACTCAACACCCTGTTTCACATGACACCCTACCATAAAACTGTTGTAAACTTAGTTAGCCAAGAACCCTTGTTAATGTTCCACTAACTTAGTATAGATGCTCCACAAAGATCAATTAGTAGAAGTGTGTAAAGCAGAAACTGACTGGTGGTGATCATTTCTACAGATTAAACAGATCAAACTGTCATGAACAACACACTCTCTTCTTTATCTATCACCTGAACTGATCCTTTATTGTGTAACTTCTTTTTTTTAAACTCTCTCTCTCTCTCCCTCTCTCCCTTTCTCTCTCTGTCGCTCTCTCTGTTGCTCTCTCTCTCTCTCTCTCTCTCTCTCTCTCTCTCTCTCTCTCGCTCGCTCTTTCTCCTATCAGATTGAATGGGAAGCCTCGACTGAGCAAAAGCAGCAGTGTCTGAGCAAAGGGAAAGACAATAAGGTAGGTGTCTTCCTTTATTTCTTAATCTAACAGGTAGTGTGCATCTTCTCCATCCCTCCCTCCCTCTCTTTCTCTCTCTTATTCTCTGTGGTATGTTTCTTTCCTTTGCAGAGTGCTATCATCACGTCCTCCAGAGGTTTACTCTCTCTGTCTTTCTCTCTCCAGCTCTCTTCCTCACCCTCTCTTTATCTCCCTCTCTCTCCTAGGGAGGTTTAAATCTACTCATCTCAATATATGTGGGATTTCTTTCTCTCCCTCTCTCATATATCATCCGTCATGAACAGTCTCTCTCTCTCTCTCTCTCTCTCTGATGTATTCTCTCTCTCTCTCTCTCTCTCTCTCTCTCTCTCTCTCTCTCTCTCTCTCTCTCTCTCTCTCTCTCTCTCTCTCTCTCTCTCTCTCTCTCTCTCTCTCTCTGATGTATTCTCTCTCTGTTGATGTATTCTCTCTCTCTTTGATTTATTCTCCCTCTCAACAGACAGAGTGTTATAACCACATCAGGTTTCTCCAAAGATTTAACTCGACTCATCTCTACATGTGTGGGACTTACGCCTTCAGACCTCTCTGTGCATACATAGTAAGGAACCTAAACATACTAAGTCATAGAATGAACATGCATAAAACATTTAATAATCATTTCTCAATGGGTTATTTGGTATTCTATCTAAGTAGAATAACTCCTTCAAGGTATTGTGTGGGTCGATTCTCTCCCCCTTCCACAGTAATTGACACAATATTGAATATGTTATGCTATACCACTGTGTCACTAGCCTCCCTAACCTCCTGTTCTCATGTGTAGGATGAGGAGAGGTTTAAAGTGTCATCTGAGTTTGAGGAGGGCAGAGAGAAGTGTCCATATGGACCTGCTACAGGCTACACTGGCCTCATCGTAGGTAAGACAACCATTCTTGGGCCTCCCAAATTGCGCAGCGGTCTAAGGCACTGCATCGCAGTGCTTGAGGCGTCCCTACAGACCTGGGTTCGATCCCAGACTGTGTCACACCCAGCCGTGACCGGGAGTCCCATAGGGCGGCGCACAATTGGCCCAGCGTCGTCCGGGTTAGGGGAGGGTTTTGCTGGGGGGACTTTACTTGGCTCATTGCGCTCTAGCGACTCCTTGTGGCGGGCAATGCACCTGCAGGCGGACTTCGGTCGTCAGTTGAACAGTGTTTCCTCCGGCACATTGGTGCAGCTGGCTTCCGGGTTAAGCGGGCGGGTGTTAAGAAGCGCAGTTTGGCGGGTCATGTTTCGGAGGACGCATGACTCGACCTTCGCCTCTCCCGAGCCCGTTGGGGAGTTGCAGCGATGAGACAAGATCGTGATTGGATCGCAATTGGATATCACGGAATTGGGGAGAAAAATGACAACCTTTCTTAGACCCTGTATACATGACTACTGTACATCCTTTATTGAGAAGTGTTCTGTCATCAAACATGAGATCACATTTTAGAAAATACTTTTTTTGGGGGGAATATTAGTCACAATTTTTATTTATGCTCAATGCTGATGGCGTACTTGTTCTTAAATGTAAACCTACCAATAACCATTGCTGTTCCTGTATTGGTCCAGACCAGCAGATGTACACAGCTTCTCAGTATGAGTTCCGGGGCTCTCCAGACATCCGACGTAACTCCCCCTCCCCCACGGTGAGGACAGAGGAGGCACCCACACGCTGGTTACATGGTGAGTACCCTGGGGCTAGAACAGTTCCTTACAAAGAACACACGCTGGTTACATGGGAAGTACCCTGGGGTTGGTGCAGATCCTTACAAAGAACACACGCTGGTTACATGGTAAATACCCTGGGGTTGGTGCAGATCCTCTCAAAGGACCTATACCTATGAGCCTCCTCCCTCCCTCCTGGTTCTTTGGCCGTTATGGTCCTTCTCAAAGATCTATTCAAATGCTTATTTTCATGCTCAAGTCACCAGGTCTTCAAATAACATTGCCTTCACTATAGCAGCACCTTCTGTTCTGCCTTTTATTCAAAAGGATAGGTTTCATTTGTATGAAAAGTTTTAGTGCATTTCTAAGTGAAGAGTTGGCATGTTTCACTACTCTGTGTGTGTTTCTGTGTTCCCCAGAGGCTGACTTTGTGGGCAGTGCCCTGGTGAGGGAGAGTGAGGGCAGTACCACTGGTGATGACGATAAAATCTACTACTTCTTTACTGAGAAGAGCCAGGAGCAGACACCATACTACAGCCACATTAGAGTGGCACGGGTTGGACGAGTCTGTAAGGTGAGGAGAGGTGTGAAGGGGTGAGGAGAGGGTGTGGGTTGGGAGGGAGGGTGAGAAGAGCCGGGAGTAGACACCATATTACAGCCAGGAGAGAGTGGTGAGGAGGGAGAAAGAGGTGAAGGAAGAGCGGGGTAGGGTGAGGCTGGATGGGGGGTGAGGGGCTGTGAACAGTGGGCACTGACTTACTGTACTAGGGATAGGACTTTTAGACAATGAACAAAATGTCAAAGTGAGATATGATTTGTTGAGGACAAGTGTCAAAGGATCTGATTTGATTAGCTTAGACCACCTGGTCACCACATCTGAGTATTTCTGCTGAATGGACAGTGTTTTCAGTGCTCCTGAAAAACCGCTTGCCCTCGACTTTAGTATAAAGCGAGAGTGTGTTTTGATGTCTACGTTGCCTCTGGCTTACCCTCTGAGCAGTGTGTGTGTGTATGTGTGTGTGCTTCTCAGCAGCAGATAACACTCGACTGCAGAGTGCACTTGATGTCTAGTGTGTATCACCCCTCTCAACAGGGTTGCCAATGGGCTATCATAGGGCAGTGCTGTTGCTAAGCACACATACAGACACAAACACACACTCACTCCCATGGCTATGTTCTCCATCTCGTGTCTTAGCTCCACAGAGCTGTAGATTGAAAAAGTAAACAACCTTGCAGATACGATAACCTCCCTTGACCCTCCTTTGTGCCCAAGAAAGGCATGTTCTCTGGACTTTGTTTAGGTTGTCCATATGTTGAGCACTAACCTTATTTCTCCTCCTCCCTCTTTTTCCATTCTCTTTCATCCTCATCTTCTCCCCTGTCCTCTCCTCGCTCCCCCTCATCTCTTCATCTCCCTCTTCCTCCCTCCCTCTCCCTCCATCCTCCTCTTCAACCTCCTCTCCTCTTCTCCCTCCTCCTTCCTCTCCTCTTTTCTACCCTCCTACTCTCCTCCCCCTCCCTCCTCCTCCCTCTCTCGTAGGGAGACAGAGGAGGTCTTTTGACCCTGCAGAAGAGGTGGACATCGTTCCTTAAGGCCAGACTGGTGTGTTCCCTGCCGGAATATGACTTCCACTTCAACATGTTGAGGAGTGTGTATACGCTGTCGGGACAGACACCTCACGACACACTCTTCTACGGCGTCTTCGGTCTCGAGTGGTGAGTAGTAGTAGAACTGAATCGATCCCAAGAAGGGAAGGGAGCTGTAAGGAGAAGAGAGAAGAGACGCCGATACAAAGAGACAGGAGTTGGGTGTTTGCTGAGTCTAAGAGAAAATGTGTGAAAAATAGAGAGTGATAAAAACAGACAGGCAAGGAGAGAGAGAAGAGACCGGATGTGTTAGCTGTGTCAGATGGGAAGGTGTGACGAGAGAGAGAGAGATCAATTGTCTGTACTTATGACCTCTATGGTCAGGTTACACTTGGCAATGTCAATGATGGGTTGGCTGTGTGTGTGATAGAGGGAGGGCAATGCCCTCTGGCTGTCTGAATATCAGGTGATATAGTAGCTCAGCTCTGGTCACCAACTCTCCCTCTCTTTCTCTCTCTCCCTCTCTCTTTTTTCCATTCCCTTAAGAGGCCACATTCCTTCTTTTGTTTACCTCTTTCTCTTCTCTCCCACTCATACCTTCTCTTATCCTTCACGCCTACACTCTTCTCATTCTCCCTCTCACTCTCTCTCTGTTCGTCTCACTCCCTTTTTTACTTGTCAAAGGAGACGTAGAGCTTCTCTTGATTAGCTTTGAACATTTCTCTTTGTCACCATGCCCACTGCTCTCTCCCTCTTTCTCTCTCTATTTCTCTTTTCATCTCCGCTACGTCAGTCTCTGATCTATTTTAGCTGTCGCTGTAGTAACATCTAAGGTTTACTGCTGGTGTTCTGGCGGACGTGTGCGCGTGCACGTGTGTGTGTGTGTGTGTGTGTGACCCAGGTCAATGAACAGATCCATTGGGAGAGAGAGGTGTTTATACTGTATCAGTGTGTGACGTGTCCTCTCTGAGTGCTGTAGTGTTTACAGACCATGTCCCTGGAGACAGCACTGTTTGTATTAGGAACCTAGCTATGAGCTCTCCTGGATTGGAATAGTCACTTGTACCTCTTCACCAGACCTGGGTCCAAATAGTATTCGTTTTCTCTCCAATATTTTTGGTATTCTTAATTTAGTGACTTCATTTATCTTGTCCAGCCTAATGGAACCAATGGAATAGATGGAAAAAGTGCAAACCCCACATGGAATAGTCCCAAACCCCATTTCTTTATGTGGGATATCAAAAACTGTTTAGGGCAGTGTAACTGTTGATCATATCAACTCAACGTCTTCGTATGTTACGGTAACCTTAAAACTGTTTGTGTTTGTGTGTGTGTGTGTGTGTGTGTACTATAGGAAGAACGTGAAGGCATCGGCAGTGTGCCGGTTTTCTCTGTCTGAGCTCCAGCGGGTCTTTGACGGGCCATACATAGAGAACCAGGACTCTGGAGCCAAGTGGAGCGAGTACACTGGCAAGGTCCCTGACCCACGACCTGGATCAGTGAGTGTCACACAAACACACACACACACACTACGTATTTTGCTGTCCAAGCAGACTTCTATATAACAGGCCCAGTCAGGTCTTCTGAGTTGGTGATCTAAAGTTTCCCCTAATCTCTTTATCTCCTCTTTCCCCAGCATCCCAACATCCAGTATACTGAGTCTAAATACTTAAATGAAGAACTGAGGGGAGGGAGAGGGGGAGAGATTGAGATGGTAAAGGGTGGGGAGAGAGAGAAGGGCGAGGGAGATTGGGGAGAGAGGGGTTTATAAAAACAGAGTGATAAACAGAGAGAGAGGAGGAGAAACCGGGAAGGAGAGAGAGGAAATATGGAAAAAGTGAACATAGAACTGAGTGGCAGATTCTTGGATGAGGATCAAACGGAAGGAGCTTATGTCATTGAAAGCCATTTCCATGGTGATTATTGCTGGGCCGAGACTCTGCGACAGATATGATTATTACTTATTATGGGCTCCAAAGCCATGACATCATTAACGAGACGAGACGTGATCTACAGTAGTGTCGTTTCAACACTGAAAAGCTTAATTTCCACTCTCCGGGTCTAGCTGTGAAATGGGGTAGAGGAAGTAATGGTTCTGGGTTTTAACTGTATTGGCAGTGTCAAAGCCTCTTAGCAGAGTTGGCAATGACATCTTACAGAGGACAAAGTCAGATAAGTTGTTTCCTTAGTCAGGTGGAGAGAAATAAGCAGCTTACACGGATGCACACACTGATTTTTCAGCTCATAGTGGCCTATAGGCCACAGGAGGCTGCTGAGCAGAGGACGGCTCATAATAATGGCTGGAATGGAGTAAATGGAATGGTATCAAACACATGGAAACCATGGAAACCATGTGTTTGATGAGTTAGATTACCATTCCATTTATTCCAATCCAGCCATTATTATGAGCTGTCCTCCCCAATTAAGGTGCCATCAACCTCTTTTGAAATTGGCCTATTATGAACTATAAACTCAGAGGTCTTGCCTTGTATACTATAAACTTTCAATTCACAAGGCTATACTGTAAGGGAGGGCTATATCCTCCACTCATCTCTCACCATCCATCCATCCCTCCGTTAATTTATTCATCCATCCATCCATCCCTTTTCCCGTGTATAACAGACCATTTGAGAGCCAGAGGCATCAACTCCACCTCTTTCTCTCCTCTATTCCTCTCTCTTCTGTATTTATTTTCTTCATCTCTCTCTCCTTCCCTCTCTCCAGTGTATAACCGACTAGTTGAGATCTAGAAGTGTCAACTCCTTCCTCTCATCCCTCTCCTCCCCTCTTCCCTCGTCTACAGTGTATAACAGACCAGTTGAGATCCAGAGGTATCAACTTCTCCACCTCCCTGCCAGACGACGTGTTGAACTTTGTGAGGAGACACCCTCTGATGTCCCAGCAGGTCATGTCTACAGAACAGCGCCCCCTGTTGTTCAGGAGAACCACGGACTACACCCAGCTGGCGGCTCACAGGGTGGAGGGGCTGGACGGGCAGAACTACCATGTACTGTTCATGGGCACAGGTTCGTGGGGGGGGTTATGGGGGTAAGGGATGTCAGGGTGTGCATGCGTGCATGTGTTATGCTGTGTGTTTGCATACATGTGATTAGTTTGTGTGGCACTAGGCAGTCAATTATTGCGATCACCAATCATCCCAGTAAAGGAATGGAACAGACTTCAAACCACATGTTCAGTACATCCCATTGTATGTGTGTGTGTTGTGACCCTGTCTCTGTCTCCTGTTTCAGACGATGGCTGGCTGCACAGAGCTGTAGAGGTCAAGGGTCATCTACACATCATAGAGGAGCTACAGCTGTTTGACCAACCACAGCCTGTGGATAGCCTGGTCATCTCACACGCACAGGTATACACTCACAAATGGACGTGCAGGCACATACACATGCACGCAGGAACACACACACACAGATGCACATTGGTAGTATTATGTTTTTTGTTTGTTTTGTTTATTGTTCTTCTAACTGAAGGACAGCTAACCCAGATCCACTGGGTATGCAGGCTTTTGCTCTAGCCTATTTTCAATAACACAGGCCTCAACATATCTCCCTCCCTCCCTCCCCTCTCCTCCCTCCCTCCCTCCCTCCCTCCCTCCTTCTCTCCCTCCTTCTCTCTCTCCCCTCTAGATGAGTGTGTATGTAGGTTCTCCCTCTGGCGTAGTCCAGCTGCCTCTCTCCACCTGTAGCAGGTACACCTCCTGTTACGACTGTGTCTTCTCCCGGGACCCTTACTGTGGCTGGGATGGACAGGACTGTGTGGACATCACAGCACAGACTGACAGGTGTGTGTGTGTTTGTGTGTGTGTGTGTGTATCATCACGTAACTGTCAGGTGATGGGGTGGAGTAATACCATTCTAGCTGGTGCCCTTGTGTCTGTCTGTGTGTTTGATTTTGACTTATCTTATCTTCTATATATCTCTGTCTGTGTTGAAATCTCTGCAATGCATTCACAACTGTTGCATAATGCTGATGTTTGTTGTTGACTGTGCTGGTGAACGTGACATGAATAGTTGTGTGTGTGTGTGCGCACTTGATAACAGGCTAACAGTCTCTCCTCCTCTCCTCTCTCCTCCTCTCCTCTCACCTTAGGTCTAACCTGAGTCAGGACGTCCTGTATGGGAACAGAGGATGTGACAGCAACACAGCAGATGGTACGCAGACACACACAGACAGGCCTTATATGACCATACTTAGTTGTATTGTAGTACAGATTTATTTTCTCTGGAAAGTTGAGGGATTAACAGAAATGATAAGAGTTGTGTTAATATTTGAAAGTTGATTATGCATACTTCTCTGCAGCACCCTCATTTCCATAGCATCTCTAATCATATTTTTGATGCACTTTACATACTAAGAAGTTAGAAAATACTATGCAATTCAGGATTTGAGATCCTCAAGCTTTTCTGATTACAATGCAATTATTTTCATATGGGAGAATGTAACATATTGGATTCTTTATGCATCAGTGATTTAAGAGTAATATATGCAGTCTGATAAGTTGTATAGAAGTTGCATTTAACTCCCAAACACATAGTACAATGGCCATGGGCCTTTTAGATTCTGAGATCCATAACAGTATATCAGTCTTATTGTGAGAGGATACCCAGGTTTTATGTGTGTTGCCATTCATTCAGAGCTGGTCCAGCACCGGAACCGGTCTGTGATGGTGGGAGATGACGTGCTGCTCCAGTGTGAACTCAGCTCAAACCTGGCAACCCCAGTGTGGACTCTGGATGGGTCAGAGCTGCAAGGCTACGGCCTGGACTCCGGCTTCAGAGTGGGAAACGATGGCCTCCTGGTCATTGAGTCCCGACCTGAGCAGAGCGGCGAGTACACCTGCCATGCCCTCGAGAACGGCGTCCGGGTCGCCGTGGTTACGTACTCTGTGACAGTTCGTTTAGACATGCCCCAACACCCTCCCCCGACCATGGACCCCATCCAGGAAGACTCCTCCTACTACACCCCCTGGGACTCTGACTCTTCCACCCTTCACCCCCCTCCTCCATCCACCGCACCCCCCTCCTCAGAGAGGCCCCTGCTACCCCCTCCCCCGGCCCCTCTCCCCCCCACCTCGGAGCTGCTCTCCCCCAGGAGCATGGAGGCTATGTACCTGTCCATGATCACCATCCTGGGGGGTCTGTGTCTGGTTCTCACCGTGGTCCTCTTCTACATGGGCTTCTGTCTTCAGGCCGGCCGCAGGGGGAAGTACTCTCTCCGTGCTGCCGCCGCCGCCGCCGCCTCTGCCAATCACACGGACAGGAAGAAAAAACACAGGAAGCAGCAGAAGAAACGCCACAGTAGCTCTGCCCACCTAGAGCTCAAGACCATCTCCAGCCACTGTAACGGGAATGGGATCTGTAACGGTAACGCCGTCTCCAAACAACCGGAGGACGGCGATGCACACGAAGGGGGCTTCCTCCAGATCGTCCCTGGGGAGGGCCAGTCATCCCCCAACAAGGACCCCCCTCCCCCTGCCCCTCCTCTTCCCCCGCCCCCTCAGACCCCCCACACCCCCCTCAACCAATCAGAGTGTGACTTGCAAGACTTCCCCAGCCCCAACGGCCTATCAGCGACGTTACCCAGCGTCTTGCGGAGGATGCACGGGAACAGCTACGTGTTGTTAAGACAGAGTGATGCAGACAGCAGCTCTCCTCTCTGCTACTCCTTCACTGAGGAACTCAACAGGATCCTGGAGAAGAGGAAGCACACGCAGCTGCTGCCCAAACCGGACGAGAGCTCTGTGTAGTAGAGGGAATCTGTGTCTGGGAGGTAGCGCCCCCTGTGGTGGGTGGACTGAACTGGGACATTAATATAGGCCATTTAGCAGATCCAAAGCGACTTACATCAGTGAGTACATACATTTTGTATGGATGGCCCAAGTGGCAATTGAACCCATGACCCTGTCATTACATGCTGAAGGGTCTGTTGTAAGGCTCTGACTTTATCTCCTTCTCCACGTCAAGAACAGCAATACTCATTGAGAGGAACTTGAGAAACTGGCCCCATTTGTGGATGACCTATGCTGCTCACAGAGTAAATGGGCTCTAGTCAAGTCTAGCCTGAACTGAATTATGAGAGAGGGAGATAGCCTGCCATTTGTCCTGCTTAAAGGCCCAGTGCAGTCAAAATGCAGTTTTTCCTGTGTTTTGTATGATATTGTACAACTGTTGATGAAACTAACACTGTAAAAGTGTGACATTTTTTTATCAGTGTTATTTCCTGATATTTTCTGGTTGAAATACAGTCGTCTACACAGGAACTTCTAATCAGCCTGTTTGCATGGGCGGGAGTTTCGGCTTGCCTGGTGACATCACCAGGGCGGTAAATTGGTTAATAGACCAATAACAAAGAGAGTTTCTATCCTCTTTGCCAATAACACAATTCTTGCTTAAAAAATTGTTATTTGCTAAATAGCTATTTTTGTCAATTCTAAGGAAGGGTACTTCATTGTTACCCAGAAATGATTTGATATTGATATACGTTTTTGCACCACTGAAAAGGGACACACATCTAATGAGTCTCTTGCAGGTGTGTTGGAATAACAACTGTGTTTCAAAAGAGGACATTTCTGCACAATATTCAACTTTCCTAGGAGCTATCCTTTTATCGCTATCCCCTGTTTGACACCCAAAGCCATGGGTTACAGTGAGGACTATCATAAGATAAGCCTGCCTAGGAGAGACAGAGAGAACCTACCTCATCTCCGCGAAACTTACAGGCTAGATCTAACCAAGCTCAAGTCAATATGGCTCAGTCTGGATCAATAAAATACTACTGGAAGGGGTGATTCAGGGAGCAGGCCTCAGATCTCAGCCCCAGAGTAAGGTTCCTCGCTGGGCAGGACGCGAGTGGCAGGGTCCCTGTGAAGTCTCATCACAGACAATGGTAACAAGGAGGAAGAGGAGGAGGAATAAGAGGCTCATGGGAATATGAATTGTTGTGAATTGTGACAATGATCTTGACTTGGCTTGTGTCTTAAAATGGAGGCAGATGTCCAAAGAAGGGACAAGATGTGTTTTAAAATGGTGTGCTCTACACCTTTATAGCAGGTTTCATATAGAACATTGAGGGGGAAAATGTATTTGTTTTTATTCTTAGAAGTTCTCATTGTAAATTATCTTAATATTGATTACAATGGTAACACAAACTGTAATAACCAAATTCAAGTATTATTATTAACATATAGCAACTCTTAACCCAAGACCGAGAGAGTAATCCAATGAAAAGATCCTTTGAACATTATATTTGTGATAGGAAATTTGACTGTATTAACAGTTTTGATGCACTTTAAATGCCATTTGCTTCAGACGTTCCCTGGTTATTATGTACTCAAATCAATGGATACTACAAGCACATCAGGACTATGAGAGATTCAACATCATCACACCATGTCAAGAGACAACATCATCAACTGAGTTGGAGCTAATGGATTATCAGTACCCCTATGCTACTGACTCTCTCTCTCCTAACCAACTCCAACTAATGGGTCTGAACTAGGGTTGCCAAAATTCCCGGATCTGAACTCTACCACGACATCACAGCTCACACACAGAGGATCAGACATCACTTCTGGTTCATGGCCATAACAACCCGTAGGCTACACCTGAGGTAAGCAGACTGAGTTTTGCTTTCTGATAGTTTGTTGGTTATACAGACAGACACAGACAGACAGACAGACAGAGAGAGCAATACAGGCACTCTGCCAGCTAGCTGCTTAAACCAGTGTTTCCCAACCCTGGTCCTCCAGTACCCCCAACAGTACACATTTTTATTATAACCCTGGACAAGCACACCTGATTCAACTTGTCAACTAATCATCAAGCTGATGAGGTGTGTTTATCCAGGGCTACAACAAAAATGTGTATTGTTGGGGGTACTGGAGGACCAGGGTTGGGAAACACTGGCTTACAAAATGATATACAGTTACACAGACAAATTGCAATCTCCCAGAAAAGCACAGGTGTTAAATGGAAGAGCAGTATAGGCCTACTAAGAGAGAGGGAACTAAGTTGAGAACAAAGTGGGATTGGTTATATTGATTTGACTAGATATTTGCAGCCTGTGTTACAGCAAAACTGATATTGTGGCCAGATAGTGACGTCCAGGGGACTCTGCTCTAGTCCGTTCTCCTCTTTTCCTCTTTTATTTTAGGGTTGGTTGGGAGGAATACAGAGCGTAGAGTAGAGAGGGTAGATTTTAGTGAAACAGAGTAAAAAGGTCAAGAGGCTGCACGTAAAGGAAGCGGAGATGAGATGAAACTGTTCACCATTCTCTGAATCGGATGCGCTCTCTCCATTTCTCGCAGTCTCAATCTCCACTTGCAGTCTTTTCTCTTTTTCACCATCTCCTTTCACACTTTCTCTCATTTTCACTCAATACACATTTTTCTTTATTTTTTTCCCCTCATCTTGTCCTTTCTCCTTTGCTTTCTCTTCCTCTAATCTATTTTCTCCATGTCACCACTGATCTCCAGAGTTCTGTCTCTCCTCTGTGAGACGCAGTAGTTAATTGGAGCAGGTGACCCTGGCAAGAGCTCCTGACCTCTCTGTAGAGAGATTGAAGAGAGAAAGAGAGTGGTAGAGGGGGAGAGAGAGTTCCACCAGAGATTTCCTGATTAGATTTATTTCAGATGCACAATTATCTTCTTATACCCCTAGACCCTGAAAATGGAAAGTAGCACACGCATGCAGACACACGCACTCTCTCTCGCTCTCTCACTCACTCACTCACTCAACTCACTCACTCACATGCGCACACACACCACGTATGATTGAATCTAACAAGCCAGGACAGGTCTGTAATGTGAGTGTGATGTGGGCTGGAGAAGCAGTGAATTGAATGCTGCAGTAAATTCTAAAAGGCTATAGTTGGTTGGAGACCAAACCTCACATGACCATGGCATTGATGGAGGAGATGAAAGAGAGGAAAGAAAGAGAGACAAACCAACACAAGCCATTAGAGAAGCCTTCATTAAGCCCTATTCAGCTAGTCTCTAAATATACCCAGGAGTGATGAGACAAGGTGACAGTTATTTATTTAGTTAGGTAAGTAAACTATACTCCCAAAGGGATCATTTGAAATCAAGGTTTGGGATCTACAAATGACGTGTGGATACGTTTGAAGAGCTACGGCCCGCTTCATACACACAGGGACAACTGTGATGCTATCTATAGCACTTTGCTAGCTTTCATCTATTTTAGTTTTCTTACCTTTTTCATCTCTTTATGCAAGTTATTTTTGTTTCTCGTGGCTACTGCCCACTGGGCACACCATATAATTTCAACGTGGATAATTGGGTAATATTTGGTTGACGTTGATCAATGAGATTAGAACCCACTCAAAACAACTGCCAAAAGTTAGTTGAATTTCCAATGTGTTATCACTATGCTTTCAACCATCTAAAAGAACAAACCAAATTCCAATGGAAAAACAATGTCAGATTTTTGGTTTAGTTGTCACCCAAATGTCTATCGCTGCGCTTTCAACCATTTAAAAGCACAGCAAAGATCAAATGGGAATAACAATGTCAGATCTTTTGTTTATTTATGCAATAGATTAATGTGTTATCACTGTGCTTCATTTTATAGCAGAACCAAATGACCTGGATTGCAGGTGAGATTACATTAAAAGTACATGGTGCAAGTGATCAATGCTGTTAGAGATTCTGCACAGATTATTATAGCAATTGTGAAGATCTCCACAGACTTGCGATGACATACAATGCCTTGCAAAAGTATTCATCCCCCTTGGCGTTTTTCCTATTTTGTTGCATTACAACCTGTAATTTAAATGGAATTTTATTTGGATTTCATGTAATGGATATACACAAAATAGCCCAAATTGGTGAAGTGGAATGAAAAAAATAACTTGTTTCAAGAAATTCTAAAAAATAAATAACGGAAAAGTGGTGCGTGCATATGTATTCACCCCCTTTGCTATGAAGCCCTAAATAAGATCTGGTGCAGCCAATTACCTTCAGAAGTCACATAATTAGTTAAATAAAGTCCACCTGTGTGCAATCTAAGTGTCACATGATCTGTCACACGATCTCAGTATATATACACCTGTTCTGAAAGGCCCCAGAGTCTGCAACACCACTAAGCAAGAGGCACCACCAAGCAAGTGGCACCATGAAGACCAAGGAGCTCTCCAAACAGGTCAGGGACAAAGTTGTGGAGAAGTACAGATCAGGGTTGGGTTATAAAAAAATATCTGAAACTTTGAACATCCCACGGAGCACCATTAAATCCATTATTAAAAAATGGAAAGAATATGGCACCACAACAAACCACAGCGGAGATTGGAGTATCTGTCCATAGGACCACTTTAAGCCGTACACGCCACAGAGCTGGGCTTTATGGAAGAGTGGCCAGAAAAAGCCATTGCTTAAAGAAAACAATAAGCAAACACGTTTGGTGTTCGCCAAAAGGCATGTGGGAGACTCCCTAAACATATGGAAGAAGGTACTCTGGTCAGATGAGACTAAAATTGAGCTTTTTGGCCATCAAGCAAAACGCTATGTCTGGCGCAAACCCAACACCTCTCATCACCCCGAGAACACCATCCCCACAGTGAAGCATGGTGGTGGCAGCATCATGCTGTGGGGATGTTTTTCCATCAGCAGGGACTGGGAAACTGGTCAGAATTGAATGAATGATGAATGGCGCTAAATACAGGGAAATTCTTGAGGGAAACCTGTTTCAGTCTTCAAGAGATTTGAGACTGGGATAGTTATGCACGCTC